CTGCCTTGGAGAGCTCTTTGAGGCCATGGGCTGGTTCTGTTGTGAAACTCCTCTGGGTCATTACAGCCAAATCTGAGCTGCTGATAATTCCCTATCAGCCAGCACATCTCAGGTCCTGCCTCAGGGGAGGAAGGCTCTGCTCAGACAGGCCCTGGGGTGTGGGCAGCCCTTGCCCTGAGGAGCTGAGATGGGAGAAGGAGGAGCCCTCAGTCAAATGAGAGCTGTGATGTGTCCCTTAATGCCCTTCTGATGGAGGGTCCCAGGGCTGGGTGCCTCAGAGCTGGAATCATCCCAGGAGAGCTTGGATGGCACCTGCCCTGGGAGCTCAGGGTAAATCCCTGCCCTGGGAGCTCAGGGTAAATCCCACCTGCTGCAGGGATGGTGCTGGAGCTGTGCTGGCCTGGCAGCATTTGGGGCAGAGATGCTGAGCTGTGGCAGTGGAGGAGGGCAGAGCTTCAGCCCTGCCAGCTGGCACCTGCCCTGCTCACATCCTGCATTTTCACTTCTTTTTTATTTTGTCTTTTTTCATCCGTTTCCCAGAACTGTGTGGCAGATGCCCCACAGTGAAGGGTTTGAGCAGCAGGCCCTGGCACAGGCTGTGGTGCTGTCTGTCTGTCTGTCTGTCTGTCTGTCTGTCCCTGTGCTGGTGCCTCAGCTGAGCCTCCTGTGCCCCCCACACTGGCAGGGACACCTCCAGGGGGATTTTTCCTCCTTGAGGCCCAGGGATGAGGACAGCAGAGGGAAATCTCAGCTCAGGGCCAGGGGAGCACCCAGTGCTTGGCAGGGCTGCAGCTGGCCAGGAACAAAGGCACCTTTTTCTCTGTCTTTGGATTGTAGATTTTTCTTTATTAGGCACAGACTGTGTTCCTGCCATCTAGGTCAGCACTGGGAACGCTGAGCTCAGCCCAAATCTGGCTCTGTCTGTCTGTCTGTGGCTCCCCCCCTCCCCAAAGGAAAACACTTCTGAAGGAAAGGCACCATCAGAATCCTTCATCTTGGAAAAAGCAATCAAAGGGGCTGCAGGAAAACAAACTTATCACAAGTGAAACAAACTCAGCCTGCTGTAAAAGGAGGACCCAGGGTAAAGGCCAGACTGAAAAAGAAAAGAAAAAAAAAAGATTTGCTCTGAAATGGAAATGTGAGTTCTGTGTCCTGGGTCTGCTGGGAGTGAGGGGCACTTTGAGGCCTTGGCATTTCTGGGTGTTCCCTGTTGGGCAGAGGGTGCAGGGGAGCTCCAGGGACAGGGGAAGGCTCCCCTTGGAAGTGCAGCTTTGGACAGGAGGGACAATGTTCCCCTGGAGGGGCTTGGGATGCCAGGGCTGTCCTGGAGGGAGCAGCACTCTGCAGAGCTCCTCTGCCTTTTCACTTTTTGGGTTTATCTTTGGATTTGGGGGTGTGTGTGCCACAAACCCAGGCAGATGGAGAGGGCTGGGCCCTGGGCAAGTGTGTTCTGCTCTTGCAGATCCTTCCCTTCCCATAGGTTGGGCCCTTAAAGTCATTTCCTAAAAGCAATTTTCCAGTCTTTAGGAGACCAAAAGAGAAATAATAATCCCCAGGCTGGTTTTCCTCTATCCTGCAGTCAGCTCCAGCAGCTCACAGATTGCTCCATGCTGGAAAAAATGCTTCCCTCACCTGGTAGCTCAGCCTGGTGCCTCAGCAGCAGCCTTGCAGGGAGCAGCATGTGGGAAAAGCAGGCAGTGCTGTTCCCAAAGCAGAGATGGAGCAGGGGAGCTTCTCTGGAGACTTCAGCTTTGTTTATTCAGGCAGATCTGGATTCCAGGAGCTGCAGCTGGTTCTGAGAGCAGAACAGCTTCAGTGGCTGGGAAAGAGAGGCCTCCCTGCAAGGGCTCAGTGCTGCTCCCTCCTGTCCCCAGCCCGTGGTGGCCCTGGGCTCACACCTGTGACAAGAGTCCCTCTCATTTCCACCTGGGAGCCTGCAGGGCTGGGGGAGCTCACAGGAGGGGCTGGGACTCGGTGGCAGCTCAGGGAGTGGAGCCACCACCCCTGTCCTGGTCCCTGGGGCTGGGATCTGCTGCAGGCACAGCTACAGGACAGCCTCACCTGCAGGGAGAGGAGCTTGGGAGACCCTGAGAAACCTGAGGAGCTTCAAGTGCTTGGGGACACTTCTGTGCTGTGACATCTCCCCTCTCTGCTGGGGCAGTGCACACCCAGCCCGAGTCACAGAAATTCAAGTGAATCCTGCCCTGACTCCTCCTCTGCCTCTGTTTCAGGTCCTTGGCAGCTCAGGCAAACTCTACACCTGCTACAGCTCCTGCCACTTCTGCACCTGCCCTGCCTTTGGCTTTTCTGTGCTGCAGAAGAGTGAGAGCCTTCTGGTGAGTTCTGTGCCTCAGCCTGGGGCTGCCATGGGGAGGGACAAGGCTCTGCCCTGCCCCTTGAACCCCAAATTTCCCCCAAACACGAGTGGAGCTGGCCATGCAGGCTGAGCCTGACCCCTGGGTGGCCTCTGGGAGCCCCAGATTTTGGGTGCTGGGTGCAGGGAGGGATTTAGGTGGTCAGCAGAGGTGGGGAGGGTGCCAGGGGCTGTGTGCCAGCTCCCTGCATGGCACTGTGCTGGTGGCAGAGCAGGGGACACTGAGCCCCACCTGTGCCAGGAGGGAACCACGTTCCTGGGGGGCTCAGCACTGCACTGAACACATTTTGGCCAGGATGGATTCCTGAGCCTGGCACCCCAGCCTTGCTCCTGCCCTTAACTTTGCAGTGCAAACACATCCTGGCTGTCTACCTCAGCCAGGCCTTGGGAGCCTGCCAGGAGCTGCCTGTGTCTGAGGAGCAGCTCACAAACATCCTCCTGGCTGAGGAAGAGGATGAAGGATGAAGGAGGAAGAATTTGGATCACTCCTGGATGTGTAACTGGCATTTTTAATATCTGTAAAGCTGTCAAATGCTCATTGAGGCTGGCAGATTTCTTCCTGTGCTGCAGCCAAGTGTGACATTAATTAGCAGCCTGGCACTGATAAATTAATTAATTAGGCCTGTGTTGACTTCAGTTTCATTTATTTATGCTGGTTTTGGGATTTTGAAGATGTTTAAGCTAATCTGTAATGATTGTGATGTGAGGATGCAAACAGTCCTGCAGGTCTCAGTCAGATGCACAGATTAAAGAGCTGCTGTGGCTCTTTGCAGGTGGCAGCTCAGAGCAATTTCTGATTTTGCAGTGGCAAACCTGGTCCAGGGGGACCCCTCAACACCCTGAAACTCTGTGCCTCCCCTGGAACAGGATCTTTGGAAGTATCTACGTGGTTGCTGTGCCTTAAATAAATTGTCAGACACACTGAGCAGCTCAAGGCTGCTGCCCTGGGAGCCAGCTGGGATTCCCTGTCCATGCTCTGTGCTCCCTGAGGGCAGTGTGGCCTCTCCTGCTGCATCAGCCACCAGAAATAATGGGGCACAGGCTGAGCCAGGTGCTGTGGGTGGTAAATGAAGCATTTGGGATGAAAATAACAGTTCCTGCAAATACAGCATCTCAGCAACATGAGAACACTTCAACCATGTACAGCAGAGCAGGGACAGCTCAGTGGCCACAGCTGCACTGGCTACAAAAGTTCCTCTGCTGTTTTTCCTTCACATTTTTATGAGAAATGAGCTTTTTACTGAGGAGGGCAAGGGAGGTGTCCTATTTTTATTTTGCCTGGAAATATGTTTGGCTCAGATCCACAAAGGCACTTCCTGTGCCCAGGGACCATGGCCTGGGCCAGAGTTCCTGCCTGACAGCCCAAAGGCACAGCTGGACTAAGGATGCTCCAATCCAGCTGCAGGAATTCTGGCTCATGGGAAGGGAGCACTGGTGGGTGCTGAGCTGCACTGGAAGCTCTGACATGTGCACAAATGTTCTGGGACCTCTCTGGGTGTTACAGCACTGAGAGTTTCACTCTGCTGCTGCTGGGAGAGTTTGGGTTGGTTTCAGGCAGCCAAAGGCAGAGATTCCATCCTTTGTTGTGAGGGTAAATGTGGCTTGCAACCACTTGGCAACCCTGCCAGGGCTGCAGGTGAAACCCTGCTGCTTTCCAGCCCTGAACAGGAGAAACAGGGCCAAAGGTAACCCAGGAGGGAAGAGAAGGGATGGAGGGAGGACAGCCAGGCCCTGCCCTGATGGCAGGAGGTGGCCCTGGCTCAGCTGGGCCCAGCAAAGCTGAGTGGGGCTGGTAAAGGGGGAGCACCTGGGACAGGGACTGGACATTACTGGACATTACAAAGCCATTCAGAGCTCTCTGGTGATTTCACCCAGCTCTGGGGCTGAGCTGCTCCAGTGGCAGTGAAATCCAGCACTCCCAGGGAACCATTCCCTGTGTATGGTGGGCTCAGAGTTATTCCTGCAGCTCTTGCCAGCTGGCACAGGAGATGCTGCAGGAACAAGATTTCTTCAGCTTATCAATTGATTTTACACCATATTTGTCATTATATATGGCAGAGAAATGAAACTCTTGGGGTCTTGTACCCCACTTTTAGTGCAACAGAATTTTAAAAAATATAGAGCTGGTTTCTGTGTGATTCAAGTACAATTTTTCAGGGATAAAAATATGAAAATTACTGGGGTGGGGGAAGAATTCACATCTTCTGGGGGTTACAGGGCTGCAGGGGTGTCCCAGCCTGACCAAGCTGCATCATCCACCTCTCACAGCTACAACCTGCCCTTGTGGAGGCTCTGCAAGGCTGGCAGAGCAAAAACCCACCCGTGGGGTTCGTGTCCCCAAGGCAGAGGGACACTGGCCTTGGTGGCTCTGGTTCAGAGCAGCCAGGACCATTGGGGCACTTTGATAGCTGCAAACACATCTGGAAGCAAACCTGGGCTGTCAGCCCTGTGAACCAGAGTGGTTTCAAGGCAGTAAAACCTCTGCACTAAAACCTTGGTCAAGTCTTTTCTCAAATCTTTCAGTAAATGGGGTTTCCATGCTGGGCTGGCCAGTCCTGACCTGGTTTTCCCATCCTCACAGTCCCTCCCCTCAGTGCCTGGAACACAGATTGAGTTTCACACCAGCAACTGGGCTAAGTAAGACTTTTTCCCATCAGAGAATACAAGCTGCATCAAACAATTGATGGAATAATTAGGGTATTACCAAAGTGCTGTCAAGTATGAACTTGGAGAACAACTCAAAAAACAGACACAAAATTATTACTCCTAAATGAATCCAAATATTAAAAAATAATAATAATTAAAATAAAGATCCTATGACTTGACATGAGCAGCACAATTGGGGAAACACCCCCCCAGCAGGTGAGTCTTCCCCAGTCAGTGTCCAACGTGGAAAGGGAACACCTGGAAGGGAAACACAACGGGATCACAGCCCAGGGGCTACAGAGGAGGGCGAGCTGCACTCAGTGTCCCCGCTCAGGTCACTCCTCCGCCAGGCACGACGTTAATTACAAAAATAAAAATCAAAATAAACCCAGAGCTGCACGAGTCCATCGTGGTCATGTCTGAGCCCTCTGGCAGGGCAGGGCAGTGCCAGGGCAGTGCCAGGGCAGTGCCAGGGCAGCAGGGCCGGGCTCACACGGTCACTGAGGCTGCAGGAGAGCTGATGTTGATGGCAGTCAGGTGCTGGTTGTGCTCCGAGGGACACTTGGGGAGCTCCTGGGCCTTGCAGAGGATCTTGGAGAGGATCTTGCGGAAGGTGCAGCGGAATTCCCGGATCCTGTAGGCGTAGATGATGGGGTTGATGACGGAGTTGGCGTGGGACAGGATGATGGCCACGTACATCACCCACTCGGGCTTGGAGCGCGAGAAGCCCTCGTGGAAGTGCGTGATGCAGTTCAGGATGTGCAGGGGCAGCCAGCAGAAGGCAAAAAGGCCCACGATGATGGCCAGAGACTTGGCTGCGTGCACCTCCTTCTGCAGGGTGGTCCTGGAGTTGCCCATCAGCTCGATCTGGTGCAGCTGCTTGCAGGCCACCATGAATATCTTGATGTAGATCCCCAGCATGATGACGAGCGGGAGCAGCACGCAGCCGAAGAAGTTGAAGTAGACCATGTAGCTCATGGTCACCACGTTCTCAAAGAGGCACGAGATGAAGCAGCCCCGGGGCTCCGTCCCTGTCTCGTTGGTGGCGTTGGAACAGCTGCTCATGGCTTTGTGCCAGCCCATCAGAGGGGTCAGTCCAATCCCAAAGGACAGCAGCCACAGCACTGCGATGAGTCCCCTCGCCCGCTTGCCGGTCACCAGGCTGTTGTACCTGCAGCCCCCGGGACAAAACCACAGCAAATGTTACATAAACCAGCACTGGTGACTTCCCTGCAGTTAAAGGCATCGTGTTTTGGTTAATGAGACAAAAGCCACACCCACGAGGGGGCCTCACCTCTCTGATCGCCGAGGGGCAAAACCTCTCACCTGTGTCTCCACCCACCCGCCGTGGTTCGGGACGTGACTCATTTACTATTCCTGAGAGGCGCCAGCACTGCCCCAGCCCACAAACCCCCTGCAAGGGGAGGGAAGGGACTCGGAGGCTTAAAAAAACCTTTATCATTGCGTGATCCTAAAGCACCAACGGCCAGCAGGGCACGGACAGGGAGGCTCCTTGGCGCTCTCTGGCTCTGAGCAGCCCCTGCTGGGCACGCTGGGGCAGCTGCTGGGCAGTTCCTGGGCTGACCCCGTCCAGCCGGGGCAGTGCTGGTGCCCAGCTCTCCATTGCAGTCCCGCCCGGGTTATGAAGAAGCTCTGCTGTGGCCCAGGGACAGGTTGGTGCAGAGCTGAGCCTGGTGCTGCCCCACACCTTCCTCATCCCATTGAGTCCCTTCGTGGGCCCTCCAGCCCTCAGATGCTCAGACACACAAGCAGAGCGGGACCTGAAGCAGCAAAAGTCAAAAGTCTGCTTTGGGAGCACCCAGAGCAGCTGCCAAAATCAAAGCATCCGTCAGATCCCTGTCTGGAGATAGGAAGAACCTGCAGGTGCCAGAAAAGAACATGAGAAACCCATTGCTGTCCTCCCCAGAGCCAGGCAGAGCCTGCTGGCTGCCACACGTCCCCTCCTTCCCACACCCTTCTCTCAGTGCTTGTTTACTCTGGCTGGGCTGCCCTGCTCCTCCTTCCCTAAGAACGTTTGTTCTGATTTTCTTCCGGCCGTGAGCAGGGGAGGGTTTTATTCCCACAGAACTGCAGCTGTGCTGTGAATCACTGTGTGAGTGAGCTCCTGCCCCTCTGCAAGGATGGGGGATGCTGGGGGTCCAAGAGGGGCTGGGGGAGCCCCCAGCTCCCTCAGGCTGGGCTGGCTGGGAGGATGCAGGAGCAGCAGCCACATTTGGGTGCTGCTGAATTGTGGACACAGACCATGGGTTGGTGTCTGAAGGGTAGATCCAGTCACTGAGGGGCTTCTCCTGCATTTTTCTCTCATTATTAATAAGTTCCAATACTTAGAAGATGAGAAGTTCTCAAACAGGCCATCAGTGAGGCCAAGCCTGTTGCTTTGAGACCCCACATTAAGTTTTCAGAAGCTGGAGCTGGTCTGGGCTTGTGGGACCTGAAATCATTGAGATTTGAGAAGTTGACAGAAATCCAATCTCTTGGCAAAGTCTGAGTCTTGAGCTGCAGCCCTGGCCCAGCTCAGTCAGTGCTGCAGAGGCACCAGGAGCTGCTGCTCCCTCGGCTCTGCTGTGGGAAGGGAACTCTGGCACTCTCCAGGTGCTCCATCCCCAAAACCTACCATGGTGAGACTGGAAAATGCCAAAGGGCCATTGTTTAGAATCAGAAACTGAAGGAATGGAGGGGTTTGTGTGCTCAGGAGCAGGAGGAGCCACCTTGGCCATGCTGAGGTCCCAGGGTGGTGACATTTGGTGCCTCTTGCTGGAAACACTTGGCCCCAAAAAAGGCTTCTTCCATCTGTTCTTCTCCTGAACTCTTCTGCTAAGATAAGGCTTGGCTTGAAGGTTCACACGACCAGTCAAGGAGCCACTTGGTGTTCCAGGGGCTGTCCTGGTGTCCTGTTTATTTTGGAGCTGCTGGCTCCTCCCAGCAGAGCTGCACAGGGACCATGGCACGTGCGTTTTTATATCCCCCGAGGGAAGATGTGAAAACATCCCAGGCTGAGGAGCCAGAGCTGAGCACTGGGGAGGGCTGGAGGCCCAGGACAGAGGTGGAGATGTTTTTTCACAGGGCACAACTGCCCTGCTCAGATTAGCTCTTCATTTCCCCAGCATTTGCATGGCAAAGCCCTCCCACCGTCTCTGCATCCAGCTGCTGGTCACTGCTGTGGGCAGCCCAAAGAGCCCAAGGTGAAACTGAGAATAGCCTGATGTCCTAGAGCTGTTAATTAATTACCTTAGTACACTTATTTGTTGGGACCCTGCCTGTATTGCTCTTAAGTCAACACAAGTTAAGTACATGCTTAAAAAATTAAATTAATGAATGTCACCAGATCCAGGTATGAGGAGTCTCCCAAGCTCTTCCCTAAGCTCCACAAAACAGGGTCAGACAGTGAGGAACCCACAGATTTCCACAGCTCAGAATTCTCCAGCAAACCTTCATTCTCTTCAGGCTTAATATTATTAGACAAAAAAGGCCCATTAAAGTAAATTTACTCACCTAAGTCTGCTCAACTAATGTATAACAAATATTGAATCACCTCTGTGCTTCCCCCGGAGGCATCAAATGTTGCCTTAATGTAAATAACAGCTGAATATTCTCAAATGATTTATTGGAATTAAATAACCTGGCAATGTGTTAGTTCCTTCTGAAGTCTCTTTGCTGGTGCAATCAGCATGAAGGCTTTAATGACCCCAGCTCCCACCCCGAGGCCATGGTGGGGTGGCTCAGGCTCCTGTCCTGAGGCAGAGGCTGAGCATTGGCCACAGTGTCACTGCAGGAGGACAAGGGGCTGCCTGAGGGACAGCCCAGCCCTGCAGTGTCCCCTGGGCAGCTGGGGCTGTCCCTGCTGTGCCCTCACCCACACAGCCAGGGCTCCACGAGGTGTCCCCTGCTCCTGGTGGCCCTCCCACAGCAGCGTCCCCATGGCCCCTCCAAACCCCAGGGCTTTCCTGGAGGAGCTCACAGCAAACACCAAAGGAGTGAATTCTGGTCAGAACTCTTGCTCTGTGTGTTGGAGGATGGTTGGGGTTGGGGTTTTTGCATTTCTGCTGCCACTTCCTGGGGCCGGGGAGCAGCCAAGGTGCCCAGGCTGGTGCTGAGCACAGCTGGCACAGAGCAGGACACGCTGCCAGCCCGGCCTGGCAGGAACTGAGTCATGTCCTGCACGTCCCTGGCAGCTGCCACAGCCCCTGCTGGACCCTGGGGAGCCCAGCCCAGCCCTGCTGCCCCTGGGCTCGGTCAGACAAGGAAAGCACAGCAGGAGAAATTCAGGTTTTGGGGTGATGGACTTGGGACAGCTGGAGGAAACACTCTGGAAGGGGGTTATGGGCACATGGTTTATGTCAGAGAGCAGGAGAGCCCTGCCCGTCCCACATCACAGCCTGGGGGTGCCACACAGCCCTGGCCTGTCCCTGCTGGCCCTGGCTCACAGCAGAGGCTGCTCAGGGACTTTGGGCTCTCCCACTGCCTCCAGAGCAGGATCAGTGCCCAATGAACAATTCCAGAGCTTCAACCCCAAACCCACCCAAGGCTTGTGCTCCCCAGCTCCCTCCCCACCCTGCCCCTGCCCAGGCTGCTGGATGCAGGAGAGGAGCAGATGGAATTTGCAGGGCTGGGACCAGGCAGGTGCTCTGGCATATATTTCTGTTTTAAGTGTGAAGGGAAATGCACAGACACCTCCATTCACAAGGGGTGAGAGCAGCTCGGCTGCCAAGCATTGTGTCCTTGTCACCTCCTCACAGCTGTACTTTGCATTTTGCTCTTTTTTAATTGATTTAATTTTTTTTTTAGCTATAACAAAATGAGCACCTTCACTGCCTCTGTGCTCCATGCACAGCCACGAAATGGAGATCACACAGCAGCTGAAATGTCCTGGCAGGACATTTTAAATGAATCATAAATTGCACCTTAGAGAGGAGGGGGGTGAAGAAAAAGAAAGAAAAAGAAAGAAAAAGAAAGAAAAAGAAAGAAAAAGGAAAAAAAAAATGAAAAGAAAAAGCTGTTCTGTTGAGGCAGGAAGGAGTTGGCGGCCAGAGCTGTGCTCAGTGGTGACGCTGTCAGCTGGGGAAGTGGGACATCTGCGAGTGTCCCTGTCCTGGGCAGACAAATCACTTCCTCCTGCATCTGTCCCCATTGTGAGGGACAGCAGCAGCACTGCCGGCCTTCCGCTGGGCGGGACTGCCACTGCCACTGCCACTGCGTCACATCACAGTGTCACAATGTCACAGTGTCACAATGTCACAGTGTCACAGTGTCACAATATCACAGTCACAGTGTCACAGTGTCACAGTCACACTGTTACAGTGTCAGTGTCACAGTCACACTGCCACACTGTCACAGTGTCTGTCACCTGCCAGCCCGGCTCAGGTGAGCTCAGGGGTCAGGAGCAGGAGGAGCAGAGGAGGGGGCACCCCCAGAGGAACAGAACGGGCACCCCCAGCCCTCCCGGGTGGAAGGCAGTGTCCCCTCCCTGGTCCCCGTGTCCCCAGCCACGAGCCGGGGCTGTCAGACACCTGCAGGTTTAAAACCTGCCCAGGACATTCTCATCCATGCCCTCATCCCTGCTGTGAGCCCTCCCTGCCTGGGTGGTGACAGAGCCGGGAGAGGGACAGAGGGACAGGGGACAGCCACGGGGCTGTGCAGCGATGTGGGAGGGAGGAACATGAGAGATATAAAACCCGCAAATGGCACATGGCTGGGAATCTGGGGGTTCACACGGGATCTGCAGCCGGGGATTGCGGGGGCTCGCAGGGCCGGGCAGGCGCCTCTCGTCTCTCGGGGCTTGCAGGTGAGAGCTGCCCGCGTTCGCTGCTCGGCAGGGTGAGAAAGAGCGGCTGAAAGCCGAGCTCAGACACCGGGGGTGTCAGCGGGCTGGGCCAAGCGGGGCTGGGGCAAACGGAGGCCAAAAAGCCCCGGAGCACAGGAAGGAAATGAGCTCAGCCCCTCGCCCTGCTCGCTGCTCCCACGCTCCAGCAGCCCCCGGCAGCCAAACAGCAGCAGCTGCCCCAAAACGGTGCCGTGCCTGCAGGGGAGAGCGGGACTGGTGTGATACTGGTGTGGAACAAGTGTGTGATACTGGGGTGATACTGGGGTGGAACCAGTGTGTGTACTGGTGTGATACTTGTGTGGTAATGGTGAGGAATCGGTGTGATCCTG